ATTAACTATATTATCTTTATAAATATAATTAAGTCTAAATCTAATACTTTTTAATTATAATAAATATTAATTAATAAATCTGAATCTAAAGCTTTCTAGCAGTATCTGAATTTAATTCTTTAACTAATACTCTCTTAACAAAGTTTAATTTTATAAAATATAAAATTATATTATTATATAAAAAAAGAAATTAAAGATAAAAAATCTAAACTTTATTTAAATCAATTTTTCTAATTATCACAAGTATCAATTTATTAATTTAAATATAGTATTTATCAACTATAATTATAATAATTACTAGTAAATAAATCTGAATCTAGTCTTTTCTAATTATAATTATAACAAATATTAGCTAATAAATCCAGATTTTGTATTTTCTAATTATAATTATAGTAATTATAAGTAAATGAATCTGAATTCTATACTTTTAATAGCAAATTACTAATTTATAAATTTAAATATAATACTTATCATAGCGATCATAAATTTAAATACAGATCTATTAGATAAATCATGAAATTTCAAGATATTCTAGATTTTTACTAAATTTATTTTATTATTTTAATTATAATCAAACTTTTATCAAATTATTCTAATTATTCTTTTCTTTAAAATATTATTATTTCTTATTATAAAAGATAATTCTTAATCATTAATATATCAAATATTAATACTTTTATAATCTTTTTATAAACTATTCAATTAATATATATTTTATAAGATTATATTCTTTAGTTATAATATTATATTAGTTAATACTTCTCAAATAGAATTATTATAATAAAGAAATATATTTTAAGAAAGACTTTATTATAATTATAGAATTTTATTACAAATATTTAATTTTATAATTATGAATATTAATTTATAATATTTTTTCTTTACTTTTGTGATAAGTTACTTTTATATTATAATTTATCTCTAATTTAATTCTAATCTATTACAAAATAGATTAATGAATGATTCTTACTTAATTTACTTAGATTATTTAATACTTTATCTTATTCTAGAATTGACTCTGATTCAGTTGATAAAAGTAGTATCTTCATTTTGATATGATATAATTAGCAAATAAATATACATATATAAAGCAAAAAATTTATGATATATATATATAGTCATCTCAAAAAGTAATATCCAATTTTAATTATCATAAAACTTAAAATATAATTTTAATTTATTTTATTTTTTCATATTATATATAAAAAAATTATTTTATATTTAATTAATATTTTGTTAGTCTTTTTTTTATCTTTAATATCATATCAATTCTTCTTAATATTAAGTTAATAATTTCTCTAAGAATATTGATATTAAATTTTGATCACTTTTTCTTTAAGATAGCTTTGAGCTTATTTATAATTCTTGAAAGTTTTCACACTTTTGAATATTATTCTTAAACAGCTTTCAAATATTTTCTAGAGTTAAAATCAGAAGAATTCATTAATCAATTCATAATCTTGATTTTCTTTTTCTCAAATCATTTTTTAACTTTAATTGCAGTATAAATCAGATATTATCTTGCTAAAATATTATTTTTTTACTTATTAATATATAAAATATATTATGAAATGATAAAAGTTAAGTCTCTAAAATTTGAAAATAAGTATTTATATTGATTTTTTCTTTTTTTTCTTTATATTCATTACAAAATATTAATAGTTCTTTTATTTTTCTTGTGAAATATTCTCAAATCATTACTAAATATTAATCACTTTTAAAAGTAAATAATAAGTACTTAGTATTAAATCTCTTACTTGTATTTTACTATATTCTTATTTATCAAATTATTTTTCAATCTTCATACTTAATTTATTCAAAAAAATAATCTTTCGTCAATTAAAAATATTTTTTTCTTATATTTTTACATTAATTACCATATATAATTATATTACTTTTTAAAATAAATGACTTTTTTATAGCAATTTAAGATTAAATCTCATAGTCATATAACATATTTCTAGTAGTTGACAAATTTTAATTAAGATTTAAACTATTTACAATTTCATGTAATAGTTTATATCATATTTTAGTAACTTTTTATTTAAGTATATTTTTTTATTTATTGTTAGAAACTTGCAATCTTCTGAATTATAATAAGTTATTAATTTTTTTATACTTGATAATAAATTATTATATTGTGATAGAATTATACTTTATTTTTCTTATAATTTGTTCAGCATTCATATTCTTCATATATATTAATATTTTTTTCTTTTCTATATCAGTTATCTGGATATATATGAATATTATAATCATATAAAAATTATTTATTATAATATTTTAGTGAAGTTAATAAAGAGATTAATATAAAAATTAGTAAAAAAATATTAAAAAAGAGAGAAATTCTATTATATCAGAACTGATAATTTTTTGTTATAATATAATATGAATTCTGTCTGTAATTAGGTCATGATTTTGTGCTGTGCTATAATCAAATTTAAGTAAATTCTATATTATACTATAATTAAAATTTAGTAAATTCTGTATTATTCTGTCATAAACTATATGATAGTCTAATAGATTTTGATTAATATATAATATATATAATTAAAAAAATTTATAAATCAATTAAAATTCAGAAAGTTAGTTATCATTATTATTATAATTTTTTAAGAGACTTTGGAATATTGATAAAGTTATTTTGGATGAAAAATCAAATAATTTATTTTTGACTAGATATAAAAAAATCATATTTATTTTATAAAAAATATAAAAAATGTTAAAAAACTTAAAAAACTTAAAAAATATAAAAAAACTTAAAAAAACTTAAAAAATATAAAAAAATTTAAAATAAAATTAATTAAAATTAAAAAAAAGAATATCTTAAATTCTATTAAAATATATCATATTTAATTTTTTCAACAATTCTTGAGATAAATTTTATTGATCACTTGATAAAAGAGAATTATATAATGAAAAACTATATTTAATACTATAACTAGAAATTAGAAGCCAAATATAATCTAAAGCAATATTAGTTAAAATTAGTAATTGAATATTTAAATCTTGCTAATATATATTTAATATTATTATAATATTATTATTTTCTAATTCACAATAAATAGTCTATTCTCAAATTAATATATTAGATGAATTTGCAAGTTTCAGAATATCTATATAATATTATATATCTTTTCTGAATATATTATTAGTATAAATATAACTGAGATCAAAAATATAATAATCTTGAAATAATTTGTGTGCAGAATATTAAGAAATATATATCTGAAATTTATTATAAGCTATTTCAAATATCAATTGAAATATTGAATAAAAATCTTTAGAATTAAAATGAAAATTATAAATAAGTATTTCTAATTCAGATCTAAAGTATTATGCTTAATAATTAGTTTAAATATATACTGTAACTTATTCAAGTTAGTCTTCTATCAAAGAAAATAATAATTTGTTTGATTGTTGAAAAAAATCAAGATTCTAAATAAATTTTTAATATAAATTAAAATAAAATTAATGTATATAATAATAATAATATTATAATATTGATTATTTTATAAAGTTTAATTACTCTGATCTATTTCATATTCTTGATAAAATATTATCCAGTATTAAATATAATCTTTTATATAAAAAATTATTTGAAACTAACTATTTTATCAAGTTATATTTGATAAAGAAATTTTACATAAATTTGTAATTTCATATATTTTTAAGTAAGTAAAATAATGATTTCTTCTAAATAAAAATTTTTTTAATTTTAATAAGAAAATTTTTAATATAAAAAATTCTAATAAAGTTCTCCATGTAATATAAATATATTAATATTTAATTTTATTTTAAAAAATAATTAAATAAATAATTAACCTATCTAATAAAATTAATAATATATACATAACATGATATATATTAAAATTGAGATATTAAAGATATTAATACTTTATAATAATATTTTTTTATATAGATAGCTAAGTTACTTAAAAATAAACAAGAATAATTAAAGAGTATATTATAAAATAAAAGAATTATTATAAGAGTTTGACCAATAATTATATTATTAACTCATTCAAGAAAATTAAGAAAAACTAATTTTGTTATATTTCTATATATAAAAAAGTATTTACTATATTTCTTGTATAATCATAAGTGATTTCATTCATAATAATAGTCACTAGTTTAGAATGAAAAAATATACATAAATTTTGTTAATATTTTTCAAAAATATAAGATAAATAAATTTAACATAAAGTAGATACTTTTGGAATTACACTATCTTCTTTTAAATATTTTTGAAAAAAAGAGAGCAAGTGATTTACTTTTTCAAGAGAAATATTTACAATAGAAAATACTTAATTAAATCTTCAATAACTCATTTTTTAGAATCAGCAGTTGTAAGTGTAGTTGCAATTGTAATTTGTTGTAAATTTTGTTCATTAATTTCACATTTAGCTTTATTTGTATTATATTTTTTGCTATTAAGATGTCTATCTATTGTTGATTTAGCTTTCCAATCAATTGATTCATTATAGGAAATACCAAATATAATACTATTATCAACTTGAAAAAGACCTGAATATTCATTAGCTCTTAATTGTACTGTAAGTTTTTGTTTCATTATTATTAATTATTAATATTCATAAAACCACTTGCTAAAGATACTAAAAATGATTATAATATATATTTATTTATTTCAATTTATATAGTACCAACATTCTGTGAAAAATTGTAACAAATAAGAATTCTGTGCTATTCTGTGGTGATTTAAAACAAATTATGTATTTATCACAGGATTCTGTGAATTCTGTGAATCACAGAAAATCATTGGCCCTGCGCCATGTATAAAGTTATTGATCTTGTTACACATACAGATCGGGCGTTACTTTTTGGAATAAAATGATCGACAATAATTATCTTTTTTTATAAAAATTGGTCTAATGTACTGTAATTCTTATTTGAATGACAAATGTTGACTTAAATAATAAGGTTCAGTTCTTTGCCTTTGTTTTCCATTGTTGCTGCTCATGCCCTCATGAAATTTCCTTTTAAGTATCCGGTTCCTTATTATTCATATTGGTTGGATCTAATACATTATTTCCGGTAGCAAGGTTTGGATTCTGATTAAACGTTGTCAAGGGAGCATCAGCTGAAGGATTAAACCTAAATTCATTAGGTGCTTTTTGTGGTTGGAAAGGTTGATTTAAATATAGTTCGAGTCCTTTGCCTTTAGTATCCACTGTTTTCCTTTTACGTAACGGTGCTATCTTTCGTCCTGCCACATTATTCGTAGTGGTTGGATCTAATAATGCATTATTTTCAGTAGCAAAGTTTGATTGAACGTTGACAAGGGAGCACTAGTTGAATGATTAAATCCAAATTCACTAGGCGCTGATTGTTGTGGTAGGAAAGCACAAAACCCGAATTCGTTTGCTGGTAGTTGCTGTGGTTGTGGTTCGTCAAGCACTCCCATATCTGATCCACCGATAATAACATGTACTTAATGTTACTGCTGCATTTAAGAGCAGCCTGAATCTATTTATTGTGTTGGCAAACAAAAAGCAACTTTCACTTTAGAAAATCTTCATTTTTTACCTCGTAAGTAATTTACTTTAAATTGTGTAATGATTTCAGTCTTTCTTCCCGTCGTTTAAATTTAGTTTTTCATGATCTCATTTTTTATTAATGGTCCATCCAACCGGGTTACTTTATAAAATAATCCAAAACCTCCTTTTCAACGTTGGTAAATCTTACAATAGGAATCCATTCGAATATATTTTGATATTCATAGCTAATTTTGTTGCATTCTATTATTAGATTGTCAATATCTTTATCCCCGCTAGACAATTCATCATTATAAATTCGTTTGTGATATTTGAGACATTTATCGCAGGCTTGTTTTGTTGACATTCAGTACATTTACTATAATCATGAGCATTGTGAACTAAACACACATCGCAATACCAATTATTTTGACAATCGTCACATTTTACTACAATGATGAGCATTTGATTTCATCTTTGAGCTCAGTGGATAAAATGGTGAATTGATTCAAATTATAGAAAAAAACGAGAGATAATCGTTGTCGTTCGTTATACATGTATAGCTGCGTATATGTATAGCGTAGAAATTCAAATTCTATGTGCAACTTTTATTACAATATGTACATGTACATGTACGCAGTTTTTTATTATTTGGTTGCGCACGTGCATGCATTACAATGTACATGTATGCAGTTTTTTATATACTCCGTAGCATGGAATTGGATACGTCATCACGTAGATCCCGATCCGCTTGATATTGGGCTCGTGATTAGTGAAATTAGCAATGTGCGGGATTAGTATGGTGCAAACGGCTTAGTCACATCTAATAATTTTAAGTAACTTTAAAGTGTAAAGGAATTTTATCCAATCATATAAATATTAAAAAAATATATAGTTTAATAGCTCTTGATATGATCTATAATACAACATATTTTTTTTATTCATTTTATTATAAAAGTTTTTTACAGTTAAATTTCTTTTAATATCAATAGCAGGATTTTCAGCACCAAATAAATCACATGAAAAGGATATTATTGGCTGATATAAACCACGTGATTATTTATGATTGGCTAATCGAAACTCTTATATGTAACAAAGTATATATTTGAAGAAATGCTAGAGCAGGATAGTGAATTATATATTAATTTAAATTATATAATCCAGATTATATCAATCTGAATTTATCTAATAATTATCAAGTTATATAACTAATATATAGTACTATTTATAATACTCTGAATCTTAATTAAGAATATCTTTCTTTAAAATTGAATAGTACTCCAGATACTTTATACAAAACTGAGTATTTTATTTGAATAGTATTATATTATAGATATTATATAAAAGAGAGATACTAATCAAGAATTGGCAAAAATTAAAACTGAATAGTACTTGATTCTCAATAATAAAGAATACTATATTTTGGAGATATTATAAGTAGTATTATATAATATATATAATATTATTATAAGAAAATATTTTTTTGATTTTATTTTTTTAAATATTTGAAAGTGATTAATTAATAAAAGAATAAAAATAATAAGAATAAGAATAATAGAAAATAAAATATTAGTTAAATAATAATTATATTAATAATACAAGTTTAAAAATATATTTATATAAAAAATACAAAAAAAATCAAATATATTTATATAAAAAATATAAAAAATTAAATCTTATATTTTAAGCTATATTTAAGTTGTAAGAAATATTATATAAATAACTTATATATATATAGTAATAACCAAAAATAATAACTCTGAGACTAAATTTATTAATAAAATATAATAAAAATTGAAATTTTCTTTTTATATTAAAATTTATAATTTAAAAATAATTTTTATTTTTATATTAAAATAAAGTTTATCAGTTATAGTTTAATATATATTTTTTTCAGATTTTTTAGAT